ATTCATGTGCTGCAGGATGGAGCTCAGCTCACTAATAACATTTGCCTTAGGATCCGGATTAGATGAGGGGGGGCTGCGGAGCTCAGGAGGTTCCCTCCAAAGCTTAGAAGCTCGCTGTGTGGGTGTTTTGGGGGGCTCTGATTGTGGTGGAGGAGGTGCAGGTGGGGGTTGATTGAAGGATTCGGGACTTTCCTCAATCAAGGGGTCCCTGTAAAGTGCATTGCTCTTGTTGATGATGGGCTTCATTTTTGGCTTGGGCGGCACAGGGGGTCGGTCCACCAGGAAGACCTGCCCGTCTGCATAGACTGTGCAGGTGTCCAAAGCCTCACTGCCTTCTGAAGACAGTGTTGAGATACTGGACACGGTAGAGATGGTGCTGGTGGTCTCTAGGTGGGGGTCTCCGCTACTTCGGCTATCCATTTCTATTCCAGAGTCCGTGATTGGCTCAAAGCTCTCAGAAGGTGGTGGAGGGTAGCTGGAAGGGGGAATGCAATTTAAAATCCCAGGACGTTTCATTTCTGCATTGATGGGTGGAGGAGCATGGGGGTGGTATGGAGGCAAAGGTCCCCCTGGTATACTGTTTTTCCTCTGCTTAAGAATCTCTGCTACCTGGTCTTCAGGAATGTCAATACTGTTGGCAAACTCCAAAGGAGGTGGTAAAGGTTCAGCAAACACAAATTCCTCATCAATATCGACTGACGCCAGTGGTGGAGGGGGGATTCGGAAAGGCAGTTTGATAGGCTCATCCACTGATCCACCTGCTGTGATACTTTTTGTTCGGGATGGTGCAAGTGTCTGGGGGTTAGGAGCTGAAGGCGGTTTGGAATCTGAGTCTCTTAGTTCTGTGCCTTGTTGAGGTGCCATTTCCTCTTTCCCTTCATCATTTACATTATTTTCTTCCATCTTCACTCCATCCACTGTGTGCACCATCAACAATCCTGCTGGCTTCTGCTGTGATGTATCTACAATGTCAATCACCATGTTCTTCTTTTCCTCTACCTGCTTGCTATCTTTTGTACCTTCTGCTTCATATTTGGACTCTGTCAACTGCCTCCGAAGACCAGATCGGCCTGTGCAAACAGAGGCAGCAAATTTGGCCTCAATGCCTGAGCGAAGCTTGGTATCAATAAACAGGGGTTGATTGATATCTGGTTTGTGAGGCTCCACCTTTGGGGGAGGTGGAGGAGGCTGTGCTTGCTCTTTTATAGCTCTGTCTCGGGCTGCCAGAGCTAAAGCTAATGGGGAATTGGGATCAAGAGCTTTACCTGTAACCGGGTGTAGGTATCCTTCACCATTGGTGCTATAGGTCTGTATTGTTGCTGGAAGGCTGACTGGACTATCCAGATCAGGGCAGTTCCTTGTTCGTGTGTTCAGAGGTTCACGTACAATCACCGGTTCAGGGGTGTTAAAGTCTGTCACATTTCCCCCACTACCACCCTCACTTCCTCCACCTCCTTCACTCTCACCTCCACCTCCTTGTGAAGCAGTAAGAAGCGAAGCAGGTGGTGCCATGAGTGTCCGAAGCCCTTCATCATTTGCAAACATTCCTTCATCAATGGACTTTGACTGGCGCAAACGAGGGGTTGGAGTGGGCATTGGTAAATCCTCATCCCCCAAATCTGTGGAAATAAATGCGGGGGAGTTCCTACGTGCTTCCAGCCTCTTTTCTCGATCTCTTACCGCCCCAGCAATAGCAGCAGCAAAGGGATTATTTACACTGAGTGTATCCTCAGGTCTCAGCTGGCCTGGATGATCCAGAGTGCTTGTCTCAATCTCCATGCTGCTTCCCTGGCTACTTTTTCCACTGCTGCTAGTGGATGGTTCTTTGACAATGATAGTGGGGATCGGAATGGAGCAGGTCTTCTCAGGACTATCTTCCACATTTGGCTGCTTTACTAACATCCCTTTCCTGCGTGCTGGCTTGGCTGGGACATAAGGTGCCTTGTTTCCTACTTCCGAATATGGGTTCTCAGGGACTGAGGCCCTGTTTCGATTTCGGGAATTGTGCTGGTTTGATATGGAGTTTGTAGGGTCGTACTGGTCTAAGTTTTGTCGCAGGAAACCACCTCGACCTCTGTTGATGGTGTTTGTATTTCCATACCCTCTGCCTGCTTGGGGTTGCATAAAGCAAGGCTGGTTGTTGCTATAGCCTCGGCTATTGGGGGCACTGGGGCTAAAAGGGGGTGATGGAGGGGAGATGCCAGGTGGAGGTGGAATGTCTTCTGATGTATCAGGCATTGAAAGGCTCCGTGTGAATTTTAGCAATGGAGGAGTCAGGAACTGCTTTTCCTCTTCCGTAATACCTAGACAATACAAACAGGGCATATGTTATTTGACTATCACAACCAATTAAAAACAAAAATTTTTATATTCAAGTTAGCCCATTCAGACATTTTATTCTGTTCCACTAACACTGGTTAATTAACAACACTGCTCATGATGCACAGGATTGATAGTACAATTCAGCATTGCTAAAGGGTAAGTGAAACTTTATCTAACCCTAAATGCCTTTCAGTGTTTTGTGAGGTATATCCAAAATCATGCATATACTGTACATGCATCTGCTCTTGGCCCAGTGGTTGTGGTGGGTCTGATAAGAAGTGACATCAATTGCATAATTCCCCATCTTAGGCCATGTGGTCTGAGAGGCATTTGAAGGACCATAAATAATAAAATTATCACTTATTAAAATGCACTTTACAGTTGCATAATTACTTCCAATAGCTCTAGCAAAGGTATTTTGGAGTGGCAATCAGATCAGCCTAATTTAACGTTAACTTAATGAACTTCGCTCAGCTGGCAAGACAGAACCTGTTGTGTGATAAAAAGTGTAATCTGCCCTGGGAATAGTGATCAACAAGTGTAAAAATAGAACCACAGGAGCTTTCTGGTTGGATAAAGAATCTGTGCCATGAATTAAGCACATTATTATTGACCTGGGATATAGTCCATAAAGTTGCATTCTTCAGCTTCTAATATCAACAAACCACAGACTTGCAAGGCTCTCACAGAAAACATGATGTTCTCAACCTTTAAATGCTTCAGGACTAACCCTTCCATTGAAAAGTGCCTAAATTGAAATTTATATTTTGAAAATTTAACAAAGCATAGTTATAAGAAAAGAAATAAAGTCATACAACTCTGTCTGTAGTGCTGTAAGGTCTCTAACACAAAAGAAGAAAGGTTGTGAGCTCAAAAAATAGTTTTAAAACTACTACTTTACCAGACTGTCATTCATTTCACATAAGTGCTGATAATAAGTTATACTATACAGTAGATAGCAATTGTTTTCACAGAAGGGGACTTTTAACTTTGCTAAAAGAGATAACTCTGCTTAAAAAGACCTAGTTGTTGATGTTTTAGTTTATCTGAAAATCAGCGTTGCAAGCAATTGTGAACAAATGTTCTTGTAATTGTGCACTACAAGTGTTGACGTACAGTGTGTTACAGCTGAATCTCAATGAAACAGTGTATGGTTAAAATGCTACAACAGTATATTCAGGTAAATATTTCGCCATAAATATAATGTGACAACATATTGTAAATCACAATAAAATGTTATTGTGTCTTACTTACCAATGGACTTCTGTCTCTTCATTGTTCCCTTTGGTACACCCAAGTATCCTCCCTGTGGGCCGCTAGGAAGGGTGGGAGGAACGACAGCTACACCTTGCCGTTCATACATGGCCTGCAAAATAGAAATATAAGCATTCAATATCATAAGTACAGAAATAAATATAATCAGACTCACCCTAACAGAAGATATTATACAGCTTAACAAGTGTGTGTGTGGTTTGGAACACACCCAGAGTGGACTGATGATGGTGAGGCATTTGTAATGATGTTTATACAGTATGATCTATATAGTGAATAGAGTATGTGGTTTGTGACACATCTACAGTGCTTGTGTTCATGTGGCCTATATAGTGAATAAGGAGTAGGATGTGATTTCAAACACTTTCAAAAACAGTGGTAATATGATAAAATGCAGGAATTACATTGAAATCAGCAGGCGTGACCAAGCAGCGACTGGAGGGGCGAGGCTTAATGGTGGCCACTCTCATGTCTGCTGAGCCGTTGTCCCTTGCATTTTTCTGGGACGGAGGCACTTCGTCCACTTTATCTGCGACATACAAAAAAACACTGGACACTGAAAAGCAGAACAAGGATATTGACAACTTTTGACTCCTAAAAATGGAAAATCTCCATGGTGCCAAAAGCTGATAATTGCATTAATCTTTTCATCAAAGGACACTTTTGATGAAATTAAAAGCAATAATAAATGTAATAAACAAAAAAAAGGGAATACAGCCCTCAAAGCCGTGCAAGCTCTGTAGAAATTTGCGCTCTGTGCTTTAGCCACTGCTGCATGCGAGCGATTCACTGTTTTTTTTTGTTGTTTTGTTTTGTTTTTATTCCATTATTTATTCTTTTGTTTTCTGTTCAAAGCCTCCATGCATTTTTGTGTGATTACTTAGTGTGACTTGAAAAACAATCCTCTTCTTCAGACCCTCAACATTAGATGACTGTGTATCTACACAGAGACGGGGAGAGAAGCATGATTTAGCGCTCAAGACGCTGAACCCACACACTCTTCTACAGACTCTACATATATTGTACATAGATTTACACACTCTATATACTGTATACATACCTGCATACTCACATTCGTAAACACAGGCATTTAGATGACACTCAATTCACACATGAACCCAGATTATGTTACATTTCTAAGAATTTATTTATTTTTTTTTAAATCAAAGCACCTGTTTACATATTTTTCATACTATTCCTGCTATTATAAATAGTGTCTGTGAGGAATTAATTATCAATTGCAAATGACTGAATTAAACTGATCTCTTCACTTTTTGAATGTTTTTTTCTTGAATGATTTCATCTGGCCAGAACTCGGCAGGACAATATTCGGAGTAGGTGACATAAGGTCATCCCATGTATGAATCAGCCATTTTGTATACAACATATTGAGCACTACAGTTGGCACCTGTCTCGCTCAGCTGGTAGTGCTTGGGACTCTTGATCTCAGGATTGTGGGTTTGAGCCCCATGCTGGGCACCAACCCTAGCCACTGGGGGTGCACAGGCTGGTGCACTCTCAGTGCCAGTCCCAAGCCCAGATAGATGGGGAAGGTTGGGTCAGGAAGGGCATCCATTGTAAAACCTGTGCCAAATCAGTATGCAGACAGTGGAAAGGTGATCTGCTGTGGCGACCCCTAACGGGAGCAACTGAAATAACAACAACATTTTGAGCACTGCAGTTGGCTGCATCCACTGCAATTAAATGCAAGGACAGTATAGCTACCACTGCTGTTTTGATTCGTTAACCAGAAAAATTGCCTAAGCAGCGAAATGATGCCACACTTATTGCTGCTACACTACACAATAATTTACAGACAGTTGTTGCACTAGTTTTTCCACACAAGACTGTTCTGTTGTCCTGACTATCTAATGTGCACTGCCCTGTGCACTTACTGAAACATTTTTTTTTATATTACATTTATTATATTTTCTTTTGCACACTCATCTCACACTGTTGTGCATATGCACATTATGTAGTCTTGTGTACTGTACTACTGTATTATTATGTGTTGCACTATGGTCCTGGAGAAACAACATTTCATTCCAATGTATACATGCTATACAAAGGAATGACAATAAAAGCCACTTGACTTGAAATTAGGAAAGATTAAAAAGTCTTAGAAAAGATAACAAACAATTTACATCCTATAGCCTGCTTTGGTCAGATTTGGAAGAATAGTGTTATTATACTAAGAATAGTGTTTTAAATAGGAATAGGAGATAGGAAGCATATTAGAATTAGTTGGCCTTTATTGTTGGCCTTAGCTAATAACATGAGCAGTTTCTTTATAATTATTAATAATAATATTGTAATGACATAGGACAATGCACTTGAAAGGAAGGTGACATTGGCTGAGTTGCAGAAAGCTGAGCTCCACAGAATTAAGTTCATGCGGTGTACGATGTGCTTCCAAGCCCATCAGTCTTTCACATGTAGGGAAAAATAGAGTCACCAGCATGTTCACTGTGCTTAAAGTGTGGAACCATGGAGCATATCATAAGCAGCTATTCAAAGACACTAGGAGAGTGACACTACTGACGGCAAGCATGATCAGGTCCTAAAGGTCATTGCAGAAGCCATCAGTACAGGAGTTGGGCATGCCAAGTGGTCCCAGCCTAATAAGAGTGCCATCCCCTTCATTAAAGCTGGTGAGTAACCTCATTCGACAGTGAAAACATCTGCAGGAATTCTGAACTCTGGAATAGGCTGGCAACTATTGGTAGACCTTGAGCTGTGACTGAAGTTAGTAGCTACCACCTTGAGACCAGACATTGTCCTACAGTCCAGGTCCATCATACAAGTTGTCCTGCTGGACCTCACAGTGCCTATTGGAAGAGGCCTTTAAAGGAAGCTTTGCAAGTATGAGGGTCTGGTCAACGACTCGCAGCAGATTGGCTGGAGGACAAGGTGCTTGCTAGTAGAGGCCAGATGCCAGGGCTTTGCTGCTCTATCTCTATCCAGAGCCCTAAGTGAAATGGGCATCATAGGAGTGGAGGAGTAAAGAGCCATCCATACTATCACCAAAGTGGCAAAGAACCTCAAGAGAGGAGAACCATGGGGACAGTAACAAGCTAGTCAGCTGGGTCACCGGGCTGTAGGATGTTGAAAGATCTGAAAGAGTGGGCACCGGTAGCTCAGTGTTTAAGACATGAAACTATTGATTGGACAGTCATGAGTTCAAATCCCAGCACTGCCAAACTACCACTAGAGCAAGGTGCTTAACTCTCAACTGCTCAGTTGTATAAATGAGATAAATGTCCTTTCACTTCTGAAAGTCGCTCTGGATAATGGGGTCTGCCGAATAACATAAATGTAAACACCTGAGAATTCCAGGAACATCACATCATGTGTCCAGAAGCAACAGCAGATATACAGTATATTCATAGTTGTTACTTTGTTTGCGGCATAGCCACTTATAGTGGAACTGTTTTTTTGTCCAGAAGAAATGAATGATATTAGAAATAATATACATATTTTCTTTGCTTTACTTTTTTCCTTATTTTGTAAACTGTTGTCCATCCATCCATCCATTTTCTATACCGTGATGTCCAAAGCACAGCACGAGTGTGGAACAACGGCCACCGCGAAGCCGGCAGGGGGGAACGAAGCCCAAGGCGGTGACAGAGGGGGAAGCGACGTTCTCCATGAAGCCAGAGGGGGGGAGCGACATTCTCCATGAAGTAAGAGGGGGTAGCGATGCACAGCGCGAATCAAGAGGGGAGAGCGACACACACCGCAAAGCAAGGGGGAGGAGAGACATCCTCAGCAGAGCAGGGAGGCAGAGCGATGTCCGCAGCAGAACAGGGAGGCAGACCGGTGTCCTCAGTGGAGCACGGAGGTGGAGTTACATCCAAAGCAGAGCAAGGAGGCGGATCGCCACCTGAAGCAGAGCCGGGTGGCGTAGTGACGTCCAAGGAGTAGCAGGGAGGAGATCTGTAATGACGTCCTCTGCCGGGCAAACAGAGAGGTAGAGCAATGTATTCATTGGAGCAAGGAGGCAGAGCGATGTCCTCAGAGGAGCAAGGAGGCAAAGTGATGTCCTCAGCAGAGCAAGGAGGCAGAGCGACATCCAAAGTGGGGCAGAGAGGGTGGGAGACGGCTCCAGTCAGGATGGGAGCCCCCTCCCCAAAATATTCCCAGAGGAGGCACCTGACCTCGGGCCCAGCCATGAGTTGGTCCAGGAGGGCCTTGAGCTGGTCAAACTGCCTCTGGTTCTCCCGTATCTGCTCATCTTGTGCCCACCTGCACTGCAGGAAGTCTGCAGCATCCATATTATTGGTCATGCTTTCTGTCATGTAATTGAACAGGCGATGGATGCAAGTGCAGACTTTTATTGTGCATGATGTAAAAAGAACAAAACAGTGAGTACAAACCAAAACAGCAAAACATACAGACTATGAGCAAGGCTATGGAAGGCAAAGTGACAAACAAACACGATAACAACAGAAGTATGACAATGAGGTACATAAAAACCAGAACTTAAATAGTGGTGCTAATTAGGGGAAACACAGAAAAGGTGTGAGTGCTCAGTAAGACATGTGACATGGTCATATGACATGCAGGGGCTGATGGGTAATGTAGTCAAACACCAATTTCGGCATAACCATGACATTTGTGCCCTAATTAGATGTAATGTTCTCGATTAGCACACCCAAGAGTAGAACAAGGGATTCAAATGGCAGTGGAAAATTTTCTGAGCATATCCTTAACCATAATTTATTAACATATGGACAGGTTCATTTGTAATATGAGAATTTGCTCTTGTGTAATTGATATTATATATGTCTGATCTAGATGGGTCAAGTTTTCACAATTTCCCAGGACTAATAAATAATAAATAAAATATAAATAATCAGTTGTTCAGGTAGATTTCCTCTCTGATTGTACTTGACTTAATATTCAACAAATATGCCATGTTTAAATGTATGCTATGTTATTTTAATCCATAGACTTTGCTAGCACTGAGATGCAATCATGAAGGAAAACAACATAAGTGGCGCTAAGAATAAGTTCAACAAGTTCAACAATTTGTGCATTACCTGCTGTTCACAACTTCTGTGGTTATCCATGTTAATATGGGCTTGCATTAAAAATATTTACCCCAGAATATGCTCCTTTCTATGCATTGTAACCCTTTCAGTGTGGCTTTTTGCAAGGGAACATACAAGTTATTGTATAATAATGTTAACATGTGTCCAACCACTTCTGTTTGCAGGCTCAGTAGTTCTGATTATTGAAGCATTTTGTATGGCAATGTATAAGAAAAAAGAAAAGCAAATAACTAAAAACTCTAAAATACTATTATTCAAGAACTGTTTCTGTTATAACAGTCTAATCCTATATAGAGAATACACTGAGTTAACTTGTGACTTAAGACAGAAATACAGTCATGGAAGAAGGAAAAGGTTGGATGTGGTCTTGAAATGAATACCAATATAAAACCTTTGAATCTATACTAAGATGCTAAAACTTAAATGCTAACACTTACCACCTTTCTTTTTCCTCAAGGTGGCTGGAGAAAGAGCGGAAATCATACTGCACAGATCAATATAGGAAAGATAGAAATCTCTCACACAAACACACACTCACACATACTTATTGTCATACTCTCATCCTTATTACTTAACAAAATTACTATAGCCTATACTTAGTAATAGCTAACAATATTCTCTGTAGTGACTTAGTGGGACATCATTGGTATAGGCCATGTAGCCATGAAGCTAACACTGCTGTTCAGTTTTTACCTGAGGTGTTTATTTTTTTATTAGCCATATCTTTTTAGTCATTTTTATGCAGCAGGGCTAAACTTTTGTAAGAGATCACAAAGCTAAGCTAGATATATGACTATATGTCACATAAATAGCTTATTCCAGGTGTTACAGTGAAGGCTACGATTCATTCCAAAGCTAAAGATTAGCTAATGACATGAGCCTGTTCCTGAATTGCTAGCCTGATGGTCTGCTTATTTTGATGCTGCTTCCTGGAGAAATGGTAAAGGAAAAGTGTTCCTTGTTGTAACTCAAGTAATTTTGAGTAACAGAAAAATTATCTAAAGTACATATTATTATAATGGCGGAATAAAACCAACAGCCCTACTGTGGCTAGCATGCCTTCATCGACGTTCCCCTCACGGACTGTGCAACACCTACACTGCAAAGGAGTGCACTTGCAGCACAACGAAAAAGTGTATAGCAAGGATCATCAAGTCCAATAAAACAAAATCCATGGCAGTTTTTTTTTTATCAGCTATGTACAGTAATCTCAACATGCTAAGTAGCTAGACCGCTACTGGCTATCAGAGTAAACTAATGAAATTTCATATGCTGTCCTGTACAGATGGGGGAGCTAACTCAGTTTGAGCAAATTATGTTCGAGTTTTGAAGCATGAATTCCACCACTTCTGGAAAAGCTCTGTTCCTGAAGTCTACAGAGTCTCATGTAACCCTCATCAAATCAACTTCATTTGAGCAGATCAA